ACACTATAGTAGGGTCAGTTGGACACCATCAGTGTGAAAAAGAGCAACACAACACAACACAATTCACTCTCCCAGAAATTTAGAAACGTCATGCTTTACTGTGTGTCATTCATTCCTGAAGCTTCAATATGAACATTCGGGAGTCAATCTGAGGAAAGTCCAGAGGATTCAGAAAGAGTTTGATGAGTCTAATGGTGATTATGAAAGTGTTTAAAGTTATCACAAGTGATGGCGCCATTAGGCCTCCATTCATTTTAAGAATAAAATTTGCTATAAAAACGGGCATATATTACATAAGATATATAAACTTTTTACATTTCTCATGGAAGTTAGTATGAAGAAGCAAACTTAAATTTAAAAGCATCAGTCCTCAAACATCCAATATGGCAGAACACTGGATAAAAAAAATATAAAATGGCAACAATTTACCCATTGCACCCTGGATATTGAGGAAAGGTGCAAAAGTAGGTATACAAAATTGAATTGTGTTGTGTTGTGTTGCTCTTTTTCACACTGATGGTGTCCAACTGACCCTACTATACTGTGAAATTGACAAAATCAAAATCACACAAAGAGCATGCGAGAAATTAAAAATATAAAATGGCAACAATTTACCCATTACCATGGATATTTGAAAGGTGCAAAAGTATATATACATATTTTGGAAAACAAAATATATATCCTTTACAACATATTTTGGGTAAATTTTCCATTTTATATTTTTAATTTTGCGCATGTACTCTGTTTTTGATTTTATTGATTGTATAGTAGGGTCAGTTGGACACCATCAGTGTGAAAAAGAGCAACACAACACAATTCACTCTCCCAGAAATTTAGAAACGTCATGCTTTACTGTGTGTCATTCATACCTGAAGCTTCAATATGAACATTCGAGAGTCAATCTGAGGAAAGTCCAGAGGATTCAGAAAGAGTTTGATGAGTCTAATGGTGATTATGAAAGTATTTAAAGTTTTCACAAGTGATGGCATGAGTATGCCTCCATTCATCTTTTCACAAGGCCTCAGACTCAACATGGGCACCTACGTCAAGTGCCTTGAGAAGATAGTGCTGCTCTGGGTCAAGAGGGTGGCTGCTGGCAGACCCTTTGTCTGGCAACAGGACTCTGAACCATGCCACACAAGCAAAAAACCCAGTCGTGGTTGTCAGACAATTTCTGCAATCACATCACACCTAACATCTGGCCACCTAGCTCCCTAAACTGCAACCCCTTTGATTATTATGTGTGTGGGGCAGTTGAGTGAGAGACCAACAACACTCCTTGTAATACCAAAGATGAATTGAAGAAAAAGATTATGGCGGCATTCACAAACTTAAACAAGGAGACTGCCCAGATGAGGAGCAGGAGATTCCGAAATCACCTGGAGGCTGTGCTTGAAGCCAATGGTGATTTTATTGAATAAATTTACTATTTTGCATTTCAAACTCCCAAGCAAATTAAATTATGGGATTAAATGACCCATAAAGGAGTTGATATGCCATTAAACAAATAAAACAAAACAAACTTACAGTCAACACTTTCTTAGGTCAAAAGCAAATTTTGACATTATTATTATTAATATCTGTTTTCATACATACACCCTTGTGCAAATTAATTGAAACAAAACGAATAATTCCATTATTATTTACTTTTTTTGTATTTTCCATCGAAACATGACCCAGTGCACATGTTATTACTTTGTATGTCCATTCCACAAAATCGTTCCTTGCAGATTGACCACAGATTCTCAATTGGATTTAAATCAGGAAAGTTTCCAGGCCAGTCTAGTACTTTGACTTGCTCACTGGTAAGGCTTGCCGGTTTGTTTGTGCAGCATTACAAATTTTCATACGCTTCATTGGAGTAATGTCCATCGCAGACAATGGCCATAGGACAACTAATCGACAGTCAAGACAATAGTGTCTGGGCGTGATAAAAATCTGATGCAATCACAGATGATGCAATATTTTTCAAGGCCAAACAAATTTCATCATGCAGCCAGAATATAAATTAACATTACTGCACATCACTGCAAATGACCTAATCTAAGGAAAAAATAGATTAACAGTGTGTCTATTGAAATATAAGTATCCACTAAAGATAATGTTTAAAGTGATAGAAATACACACACACACATATATATATATTTGAAAAATTAGATCAGCCAATTATGTTATCATGGTTTAAGGTATCCTCAGGCAATATAAACCAAAGATTTGTTGAAACCATGGTAGCGAGCGTAAATGGCTGATTTCATGATTTTTAAAGAACTAATGGATTATTATTTACATTATTCAGACTATTGTCCTCATCTTTGTTGCCATATTTATGACAACGTTTCAGTCGTTGTACGCTCTGGCCTTCTTCAGGTGGTTGGAATGTTGAACTGAACCCTTTATTTCGCTCACTGGGGTAGACTGTTCTAGTTCCATGTTCCATGTTTAATGGATGTCAGTTATCAGTTATCTCCTGTTAATTTCACTCTGAAAGTTCTACACTGCCTTAACCGGGTATTGAACTCACACTCTTTGGGTCATGACACTGGATCTAACCAACGCCTTTATCCACTGTGCCATGTGTCCTCAAGGACACATTCCAACCACCTGAAGACAGCTGGAGCATTCAATGGCCAAAACGTTGTAATAAATATGGCGACAAAGATGAGGACAATAGTCCGAATAATGTAAACAATGTACATAATACCTCATCTTAGAAATATAGACAGATACTGAAGTAATGGATTATTTTATTTATTACTCTGACAGATTTCATTACTTGAATATTATTTTTAATGAACACCAATATTTGAGTAAACACTCTTTTTATTTAATTTTGTCTTTATTTTTTCTTTATTTCAGTCTAATGTCCTGAATATTCGAGAAATTAATTATTAGTATATTTTTTTCTGTCTAATTATACATTGAGCATTGTTTTATTACCACCAGCACCCACTGTACACTGTTATATATATATATATATATATATATATATATGGTGAACATAACATAGTGTCACACAAGGCGATAGGGGTCTGTTTCATGCATATATTAATGGTCAGTCTGGGCCTGGCGATTGTATGACATTTATGTTCACTTTTATATTTACACACGCTCTATCTCTGATATTGAGCACTTTATTCCATAAATATAGCACACCTTAAGACTATATTTCTTTTTATATATATATATATATATATATATATATATCACCTAAGGATACTGAAAGCCTGAAACCAAGGTAATGTGGTTGGCTGATCTCCTAATTTTTAAATTTAAAAATCTGCATGTAAAATTTTTTATTTTCTTTATATGTGTATTGAGCACTTTTTTTAATACAACTGCTTCCTTGTTTAATTCAACTCTGACCAATAACTGTTTCATATATATATATATATATATATATATATATATATATATATATATATATATATATATATATATATATTTCTTATTACTAAAAACATTGTTTTTAGTGAGTACATGTATTTGAGTTGCTATACTGGTGTTTTGTTTGTTTTTTTTATATAAAAATAAAAGAGGACACTGATGTCAGCCTTGAGTGGCAACAGTTTGTTTCTTAGTTGAACACAATCTTCAAGCATGAACAAGAGTGTTGGCATTTGGTGTTGGCCTCAGTATTTATATATATATATATATATATATATATATATATATATATATAAATAAAGAGATAGATAGATAGATAGTCATATTGTCTAATGAAATAAAAATGGGGATAACAAATCAAATATGTGTACTTATGAAAAATAACACTGTAATAATATATATATATATATATATATATATATATATATATATATATACACACATACATACATATATATTTATATATACACACACACACATACATATATATTTATATATACACACTCACATATATATATATATATATATATATATACACATACATACATATATATATATATATATATACAAACATACATACATATATATATATATATACAAACATACATACATATATATATATATATATATATATATATAAAAACATACATATATATATATATATATACAAACATACATATATATATATATATATATATATATATATACAAACATACATATATATATATATACAGATATACACATATATATATTTTTACACAAATACACACACATACACATACATATATATACACACATATACACACACATACACATACATATATATACACACATATATATATTAATAAATATGCATATTATTTCTCATGTATATTTATTAATATATGCTTGATAGCTCTGTTATATTACATTTTTTTTACTCATGTTCAACCAGTACAAGGCCCAAGGGCCACTCAAAGTAGAGGATTACTGCATGGAATTGTAAGAAATGGCAAAAAGTGAAATTCTTGTGGCTATACAGGAAAGATAAACAGATAATTCAATCTTGAAGAGGTCAAGATTTAAGTTCTGAATAATATTTCAGAATTCTGGCAGAGACATTAGTATAGAGTTGAAGTAGAAACTCAATCCTTAACAGGAAACCATGGATAAACCTCTACTCCTGTTCAAAAGACTAGGGGGTAGTGTGAACTGGGCAACAGACAAACCTATCTATACACAGAGCACTATTTTATTAACACTAGCATTCAATGTATAATATCTTATATTTATGTGTGTGTGTGTGTATGTGTGTGTGTGTGTGTATGTATTTTTTTATTTAATTATTTTGGTTGAGGAGTTTTTGGCATTTCAAGTCTGTGTTATTTGACAGCACAAAGGAAGTTAGTGGTGGAAGGCTGAAGAAGTAGGCTTAGGAAAAGTAGATCAAAAAACAAGGTGAAATGTGAAGAAAAAAGAAAATTAGGAAAAATATATATAAAAAATAAATAAAATGGCATTAGATAAAAATGGTTTTATAAAAAGGTGAGTTTTCACTAAGAGGGCATTTCTGACGGCAGACGAGATAGAAAAAAAAGACAAAACTTATTAAATGTTGTTCAAAAGAAGAAATTATTTCAATGATAGACGAAGAAGGTGAAGAAAGATACAGGAACATAAAAGAGATTAGAAGAAGAAAGATGGGGAAGAGAAGAAAGAAAAAAGATAAAGAGAGTGGGGAGAAAAAGAAGAAGAAGAAGAAATAGAGAATTGAACTGGAGTGAGTAAAATGATGTGGAAGATAAAATGAATCGAGTGATGGCGGGGGGGGGGGGGACAAAAACACCAGATGAAAAAAAGAGGTTTATATTTAATAAATTAGGCAAATAATAATAAGTAGGGATAGAGAAGGTGAATGAAGATAAGGAAGAGACAAAGGGAAGGAGAAAAAGAAAATAAAAAATAAGAAGGAAATAGAGCAAAGAAAAAGTTAAAAGAGAAGAAGGAGAGAAATATGAAAGAAAGAAAAAGGAAAGAGAAATAAAGATAGGAAGAGAAATAGAGTGAGAGAGAGAGAGAGTGATGAGGGGAAAAAGAAGACCAACAAAGAAAAAGCTCAAGAAGAAGAAGAAGAAGAAGAAGAAGAAGAAGAAAAGAGAAATAAAGAAATGAGAAGAGAGAGATTAGGGGAAAAGAAAGAACACTGTAAAGAGAAGCATTGATAAAAAAAGAAGAAAAAGAAGAAAAAGAAGATGAAAAAGAAGAAGAAGAAAAAGAAAGATATCTTGGAAAGGAAAAGAGGATGTTTTAAAGAAAGAGGAAAATAGCCGAAGAAGAAATTGAAAGGAAAAGAACAAATTAAAGAAAGACAAGAAGAAGAATAAAACTTTGAAGAATAGGGAAGTGTGAATGAATGAGTAGGAAAATAAGAATGAAACAATTTAATGAATAAAAATTTCGAAAAAGAAACAATGAAAATCAGGAAAAAGGAAGAGGTGAATGAAAAATAAGAAAAGAGGAACAATAAGACTGAAATGAAGAAAAAGAAAGAGTGAAGGAAATAAAGAAAAGTGATATTGACAATTGGAACTCTTTTGTAAGAATCAAATCCACCAAAAAGATTATGGAAAATTTTGAAGAAAGATTTGGCAAAAAAAAAAATAACGAATAACAATAAAAAAAAAAGAATGAAGAAAAATATAGATAAAAACAAAGTAAAAAAAAAAATAGAACATAGATCTACTACAGATATATAAAGGAATAAAAATCAGTTTTGATAACTTGAAAAATATTCCTTAAATAAAAAAAAACCTGATAAAAACAGAAACAGCACAAAGAAAATCAAGATTGTCTATTTAAAATTAAATTAAATAATTAGAGAAACAAAAATACTTATCAGTAAAAAATGTAAATGAAAAGGAAAAATATAATAAGTTTTTTTCTTACTGTACATCCCCAAAGTCTTGATTGCCGAAAGTAAAACACTTTTGCCCGAATGAAATCCATAAAGAACGCGTCAGAGCAACTTACATAGGCAACCTTTTCTCTTCATGGGCACAGGCCAAAAAGGCAGTCTCTACTGAAAAATTGTAACAAGTGTCGAATTCCACAATTCCCACAGTGAAAGAGATAAAGACAAAAAAGAAAATAAATACTTACATATCTGTACATGTGTGTGCATATGAAAGCACACACACACACACACACACACACACACACACACACATATATATATATATATATATATATATATATATATATATATATATATATATACACACAAATACAGAATGAATAAAATGTACGCACAGATAACTTTCTCTCTTTTTGTATCTATTTATTTATGGAGAATTGATACAAATATAAAATTTGTCACTTAGCTGATTGTTGCTACATTCACAGGACCCTGACTCCAGAGTTTCGTAGATGAACCCTTTTCAGTCCAATTGTCAGGAGGTATCAGCAACTAATTGCCGATTTTTCTCATTTTTGTTATTGCTATATTAAGTTAAAAAATAATTTATGTGCTTTTTATTGGTGTTAGGCTGATATTTTTTTCTTATTTTGAATGTGCGTGTTCGTGTGTGTATGTGTGTATGTTCATGTGTATATGTGTGTATGTTCGTGTGTGTATGTGTGTATTGTTTTTTTTTTAAGTGTTTCACCCCAAGCAAGGAGAGAAGCCACTAGGACGCAAGGGGTTACAGAAAAATTTTGAGCAAGATCAGATAGGAGTGATAGAAGAAAGGATGAGGGTAGGGGATAGATCAAGGCAACTGGAGATGTCGATTGACATTACATTTGAATAGCTGGAGATTATAGTTCTCAGGGAAACTGGAATAGGGAAGGGAGTTCCACGGGTGAGACGTGCGAGACATGAAGCTATTGGAGTAGAAGAGATGGCTACATTTAGGAGTTTCGACAGTGAAAGGGTGAGAGTGGGATGCCAGCCTTGTAGGGTGCTTGAACTCATGAAGTCTGGGAACCAGCGAATGCAGCTCCTCGGAACAATTGCCATGAAAGTATTTGTAAAACAGACAAAGAGAGGCGACGGCGCATCTGTGAGAAAGTGACTGTAGACGAGATGCAAGAGCAGGGCCATTTATATTGCATATCTGCCTCTGGAGCCTATCAAGAACCCGAGGCAAACAGAAGGGCTCCAGACTATATATGGCAGCGATACTCCATGCAAGGGTGAATTGTTGATGCGTTTGTGTGTGTATGTGTATGTATAGAATGTCATTATCTTTTCTCCTTTTCAACTTTTTCTAATTTAAAATTATTCTTTTTCATATATATATATATATATATATATATATATATATATATATATATATATATATATATATATATATATATATGTATATAGGGAAGAGTTCATAGTTGTTCCAATGATAGAAAAGTGAATAATTTAAAAAGAAAAGAGAAACCACAAATATTTTTGGTTTTAATGTGGATTTTTAAAAAAAAATATATATTATACTGTATTTTTCCATAACTTTGCTACACGGGTTTCAGGCCTTGCAGCCTTCTTCAGGCAAAGAGTGTATATTTTCACATAATATTAAAATGAATTAAATTTCCTTATGGTTTTCAATGTTAAACATTCTATTTTTTAGGTTAGTAGTGGCACAAATGTCTTTCTTGGACTGGTGTTGAGAAAGTTCTTCTGCCTAAAGGGTAGTAAAACAATTAAGATTGGTCCGAGAAAGGGTGAGGAAAGATATCTGTGTTCTTATCTTTTAATGATTCCTGTATGTTCTTAGATCTATTTCAATTTTGAATATATATATATATATATATATATATATGTATATGTGTGTGTGTGTGTGTGTGTGTGTATATATATATGATAAAATAAAGAACAAATAAGAAATGTTTATCAATCTAACAGGTTTCATTATTATTAAAACTTCATCAGAGCATGAAATATGTAGACATCTCATTTGTCTTATCATTCTGTCGGATTCTGATCCATATTTTATCTATATTTGTTTCCCACTCATATATATTCTTATTACTACGAATATTATTTTTAGTTTCTATCCCATTTTTTCCCCTAAACAGAGAAATTAATAACAGATGGTTTAGACTAAGAAGGACTACTAAAGAAAAATTCTGCCTCTGACAGGAATCGAACCTGCGTCACTTTTTTCCCATCATGGCAACGACTTTTTGAACAAAAGTGTTCCACTACCAGTTCAGGCCATGGAGACAATCTTGAGAGAGCAATGTATGAATTTTCTATTTTAGGAAATCACATTTCTTGTTGTGACTTTTACAAATCTAGATTTGCTAGCTAGAGTTTTGTATCCGGAATGAAATCAACAGTAATTTTTGGAAAGGATTTTTTATTCAACATTGTTATTTTTTTTATTTTTATTAGAACTGAATTTTACACAATGAAAAGATAAATATTAAATTAAAAAAAATTACACAAATTATTGTACTGGAGAATGTTAGACATTTAAACACTTACTAAATTACTTTTTATTTTTAAGTTATCTTTCTTTATATATACTAATGCAAGATATAATATATATATATATATATATATATATATATATATATAAATAAAAAGAAAGAACAGTAAGATATAAAATCCGGTGTTCTTATAGATATTTTATTTTTACAAAATAGTGCTCAATGTAAATTTACAGAGCATTAATATTATATCGTAGTTAAATAAAAAGTATTGTAAAAAAATCTTTAATTTTAAAAGATGACGTTGAAAATTTTTACCGTTAACAATTTTTTTTTTTTTTTTTTTTTTAAATTCAGACGACATCCATTCAACCTGACGTCAGGTTTCAGTGTAAAATACATCCTCACCCCTTACCAAAATGTAGCTAATAACTGATACAATGATACTGTCATAAGGAAAATCTAGACACCCCGTGTTCAATTTGAGTAGAATATTCTGTAACCATGGAAACGTGATTTTAGCTGTATATTTAAAACCCGGTAAATTTTAAAAGTTACTCCAAAATTCGCTTGAAGATGAAATGGAACTAATGCTTTTAATTTATTTGCAAAAATAAAATTAGGGGTTTTTAGCTTCTATTTTTGAAACATGGTTGGAACTGTGTAGCGAAAATAACCATATTTTAAATCAATTAATTTTATAATATATATATATATATATATATATATATATATATATATATATGTATATATATATATATACTCATGCATGAAAAATGCTATGAAATTCCTAATCCACAGAAAAAAAACCTGCATTATTTACATTATTCAGACTGTTATTCGCATCTTCATTGCCATATTCACGACGTTTCTGCAGTTGTATGCTCTGGCCTTCTTCAAGTGATTAGAATTTCGAAGCAAACCCTTTATTTCATCCACCAGGCTAGATTGTTCGAGTTCTACATGCCATACCTCTTCTGGATGTCTCAGTTATTTCCCTTTAACTCAATTCTCCAAGTTTTTGGGTTCGCCACTGCTGTGACCTGGTAATGAACTCGCAAATCTTTGGCTCTAATCATTGGATTTAACCAACGTCTTTATCTAATCATTGGATTTAACCAACGTCTTTATCTAATCATTGGATTTAACCAACGTCTTTATCCACATGTCCTTGAGTGTACAATGGCTAAAACATTGTGAATATGGCAATGAA